TTGCCTAGTCCCGGAATTAACTCTCCTTTATACCCTGGCAGCGACTGCCCATGCTGACCCTGTGGTGTCTCCTCAGGATGGCCCTGAGGAGAGTCTGCCAGCAGTGGCTGCGGTTCTGCGCTCTCATAGCTCAGGCCAGTGTCAAGCCCCTTGGAGGGATCTTGAGATGCTGGCAAGCCCTGGGAAGCCACGTAAGCCGGCTCTGGGGCTTCCTGGCCCAGCTTTCCCTCCTGTGGGCTTCTGAGAGTCTGTCCACCAGAACTCTGAACGTTTGGCTCTGTTTGACTCTTTTCTTCCATCTTGTCTGGGTCCTAGGAAGAAAAAATATTCTGGGCCCAAAAAGTTTGTGCTCTTCCCCCAGTGCCTTGCATATCACACCACTGCCACCGCCACTACCCACCCACTCTTGCTGGTCCCCGAGTGTGCCACACCCATTTTATGTGGTGTAAAAGGTCTCAGCAATGGTCCCTCCTTCCTCGAGCTGTAGGAGGCAGCCCCACCTCACCCCAGCAACCTTCTCCCTGGCAGACTCCACCCCATGCTGCCCCCTGAGAGGGCCCTTGCCCGTGACCCTTTGACCTTGAGCTCTGAGTTTCCTGGCTCCTCAAAGTTACTGCTGTCCGTGGGATGTAAGCAACCTACGAGGGAAAGTCAGACATTGACTAATGTCTACTGCTGTCCGGGCTCTGACACCCATTCCTCCGGAATTAGAATGCAGATGCCTGGGGTGGGCCCTGTGCGCAGGCGTAGGCGAGGGAGGAGTCCCAGGAGTGGCGGTTCACAATCCACACACCTTCATTCCCACCGCCTGCCACACATGCACGGCCTACCACGTGTTTCCCGTGTCCACAAATGGCCAACCCCAACATCTGCCTCTTTTTAGCTCAAAGAGACCTGCACAGTTCCTCGTGTTCCATGAACACTACAAAAAGGGCCCATTTGCTGGGGTCCTCCTAGGACCCACTCTTTGTCCATGTTTGCTGGCTCAGGCCCACAGGGGACCCACCACCACCACCACACATACCCTGTGCCATACTTTCCCGGCTATGAAGGAAAATCTTACTCTTTGTTTTTGGCAATAAAATCAAAGGAAATTTACAATGAAATTTTAAACCAGAGCCTGGCTTAAAACTGCCAAGTCTTCATAATTAACAAAAGAAATTCAAAAAGAGGGACATGCTGTCACTGCTTCTTGCAGCTGCAGGAAAGAGAGCCTCTCTGCAGCCACGAAACTGAGGGTCTGCTTTTCATGGCTCCTAAACCCAGCTCCTTTGCGAGAAGACTGTTACATCTTTCTCTTGCAAGGAAAACAATATTCTCAGCAGTAACCACAGGGGTGTGTTTTCTATGCGGCTTCAAAGGCTCTTTGAACTCACAAGATTCTTGGCTTCAGAAAAATCATTGCCAAAAGTGGAGAAACAATCTCTTACTCTTTTCCTGCTGAGCTCCCATCCCTAGGTAATATAGTGTAGAAAGCACCCCGTCCCCAGGTAATATAGTGTAGGGAGCATTCCCTCCAGGTAATATAGTGTAGGGAATACCCCACCCCCAGGTAATATAGTGTAGGGAGCACCCCATCCCCAGGTAATATAATGTAGGGAGCACCCCATCCCCAGGTAATATAGTGTAGGGAGCACCCCATCCCCGGGTAATATACTGTAGGGAGCACTCCCTCCAGGTAATATAGTGTAGGGAGCACCCCATCCCCGGGTAATATAGTGTAGGGAGCACTCCCTCCAGGTAATATAGTGTAGGGAGCACCCCACCCCCAGGTAATATAGTATAGGGAGCACCCCACCCCCAGGTAATATAGTGTAGGGAGCACCCCATCCCCAGGTAATATAGTGTAAAGAGCACCCCGTCCCCAGGTAATATAATGTAGGGAGCACCCTATCCCCAGGTAATATAGTGTAATTTGTATCCCTGTCTTTCCAAGAGGTAACATTTTTGTCAAAACTCTGTCAATCAAAAAAAGAACCGTTAGCACTCGTCCGAGTGGTAAAACAATTGCATGCATATAGCTTTGAGAGATGCATTGCTTAGCACACAATTTGAGAATCAATCAACACAGCAGCCTGGGGAGGGGAGGCCAGGGCACCAAATCCTATCTGTGCACTTCATATCCTAATCTCTCACAAGGGTGTGATCTCAAAGACTAGACCAAGTCCTCCCGTGTCTCCTGTGTGGCACTGTGCTTGGCAAGGGGTAGCAAATGGATGGTTTAGGATTGCTGTTCTGTCCCTTCTTCAACTGCTGCCGCTCCCTGCCTTGGCCCCACTGGACACAGTGCCCAAGATAGCTGGTGCCAACTCAAAAACTGGCAATAAAACCTGCTTCCGTCGGGCTTGGTGGTGTACCCATAATCCTAGCACTTGTGAGGATGAGGCAGGAGGATTGTGAACTGAAGATCAGCCTGGATTATACACCAAGTTCCAAGTTAAGAGGACCCACGCAAAGCTGGGCAGTGGTGGTGCACACCCAGCACTTGGCAGATTGCTTAGTTCTAGGCCAGGTCCTGGTCTACAGAGTGAGTTCCAGGACAGTCAGAGCTACACAGGGAACCCTGTCTGGGCATGGAGGAGAACAACAAAACAAAACAAAAAGGTGGCCTATATAGCAAAGCCCTGTCTCAAAAAATAAAATAAAATAAACGAAAACCTTATTGGCGTCCCCAGCTAACTTGACACTCAGTGACAAGGTAAGTGATGAAGACCCGGGATGAGACTGTCCCTGCCTCCCAATCTAGTCTGGTTTACCAGCTCCAGGAGTGCCGGCTCCCTTGACTTCTGGACTGGTTCCTGTTGGTGTACCAAGTGCTGTCTCTTCAGGCATGATGGGGCCCTCCAGCCTTGGGTCAGCATCGCTTCTGGCTTCACCCAGTTCTGAGGCGGATGAAGGATCTGTGGCCTGCCTCCTGCAGGAGTTCAGCAGCTGCAGTGGGGAGCAGCCTGCCTGCTAGACACCCTCGGACTTTCAGGCTGCTAAGTAAGTCAAGTCGGAATTCAGGGAGCCCCCTCCCCAACTCCTGCACCCAGTGGCTCCTGGGAGCTGTGGTGTCCTGCCAGGGACTGAGCACAGGTCTAGAAGGAATTGGAGGAAGGAGGAGGGAAGGAGGATTGTCACAGGAAGTGGGTTCTCTGTCACTGTGAGGCAGTACTAAGAATGCAGAGTCCCTGGGAAGCAAGACTCACCCCTTGGGGAGCTGATGGCTCTCACTCGGGGCTTCCTCAGCCTGGAGTGGAGGGTATATCTTGGAACTCTGCAGAGATTAAGTAAGCCCACACTCACAGGGTGGCATTCCCTGAGTAGGAAGGAAGCTCCCAGCAGGCCCTCGTGTCTCCTGCCTCCTGGCATTCATGCCCTTTGTGATAGCTCTTCCTCAAGCCTGGCTGAATTCTTCCTGAGTGGTCACTACTAGCAAACCTTCTGTTCCCACAGAGGGTGCCTCAGCCCCGAGAAGCCACTAACCTGACCTCAGGGGCGCCATCCCTGTTCTCAGCTCTGTTTTGGATCAGCCCATGGCAAAGGCTTCTCAGCATCTCTGTCTCAGAGCCACACTGGGCACCAGTACCTCTGCCCTCTTAGACCTGCCAGGTGATGTCTTTCCCTCTGGGCAGACACATGGAAAGGCTTTGTGTATGGCCCACAGTTGATTTCACCAGCCAGTTGTTAACTGTGCAGTCTTCAAGTTAGGAGCATATGGTATTTGTTGGGTATGGTAGGAACCCTTTTGTCCCAGTGAATCCAGTGGTCCTCCCAATGGTCTTTGAGGAAAGATCTAGAAGGATCTATTATTACCCACATTTGTAGCTGAGCAACTGGAAGCTTAGAGTCCAAAGGAAACCACAAAGCAGAAATTTGAACCTAGGCCTGTAAATCGCAAAGCCCATGCATTGCCCACTTCCCCTCACCCTCTAGACCACCTGGGTGACACACGGTGCCCCTACTCACCACACTCGCCAGACGCATAGAGTCCCCATCTAGATTCCTGCCACAAGATTGGTTGCACTGGTTCCGTGCATGCTGAGTCTGGTCTCTCTGGCCATAGACCCCAGCCCAGGGGGGCCAGAAGAGGCCCAGCCCAACCCCAGTCAGCAGCTCCAAGTCCCAGAGAAGCTGCATGAGGATGGGAAGCCAGGAAATGAGGGGAGCCACTCCACCTTCTGCATCTGCTTCCCCCATGTGCGAGCCTCTACCTTCTCCTGGGCCTGTAGGCTCTGCTCCATCTCCAGCAGCGTCATGGGTAGCTCCAGCCCTGGGGCACCGTCCCAGCCCTCATGTACCTGGAGTGGGGATCATGGGTGTCAGGTCCCCGTCTACTTGTCCCTTGGAAGCAGCCATCAGCCTCCCGTACCTGCTCTGTTGCAGTTTGGAGCTGGCCTAGACCTGCAGGGCGCTGGAAGAGAAGTTGGTGAAGGGTCAAGGCTTGCTTGAGGCTACAGGGGAGTCCTGGACCCCCAGGGATGGTTGCCTGTGCCATGGGGAAGACAACAGGACAAATGTCCTGTTCCTCTTCCCTATCTGCATCTGCCACAAGGGCCTCAAGAGAGGTAGAGGACAAGGAACAAAAGCTCGGATCTCAATAATGCAGGGCCCTGACACCTGAGCCTCCCAGGGACACTAGGCTCACTCTCGGGTAGGTTTCCTGGACTAGAGGCGGAATACAGAGCATGACACAAGAGACCTCAGCACAGGTGCCTGTTTGCAGCCCTAGTGAATATTTACAGATGCATTGTTCTGGTTTTCTGTATGCTGCTGTGGTCAAATGGTGCAACAAGAAGCAACTTAGTGGGGCTGCAGAGATGACTCAGCAGCTAAGAGCACTTTGCAGAAGACCCAGGTCAGGTCCCCAGCATCTTCATGGCAGCTCACAATCACCTGTCAAACCAGTTCCCAAGGATCCTCCACCCTCTTCTGGTCTCTGTAGTCACCAGGCATACACGTCATGCCCTTCTAAGCACGAGGCAAATACAGACACATAAAAGAAAAATAAGGCAGCCGTCGCCGCGCCGCCGCCGCTCTCTAACGCCAGCGCCGCCTCTAGCTTGCCGAGCTCCAGCCGAAGGAGAAGGGGGTAGGTAAGTAAGGAGGTGTCCATACCATGGCTCGTACTAAGCAGACTGCCCGTAAATCCACCGGTGGTAAAGCACCCAGGAAACAACTGGCTACAAAAGCCGCTCGCAAGAGTGCGCCCTCTACTGGAGGGGTGAAGAAACCTCATCGTTACAGGCCTGGTACTGTGGCACTCCGTGAAATCAGACGCTATCAGAAATCCACTGAACTTCTGATCCGCAAACTCCCCTTGCAGCGTCTGGTGCGAGAAATTGCTCAGGACTTCAAAACAGATCTGCGCTTCCAGAGTGCGGCTATTGGTGCTTTGCAGGAGGCAAGTGAGGCCTATCTGGTTGGCCTTTTTGAAGATACCAACCTGTGTGCTATCCATGCCAAACGTGTAACAATTATGCCAAAAGATATCCAGCTAGCACGCCGCATATGCGGAGACCGTGCTTAAGAGTCCACTATGAGGGGGGAAACATTTCATTCTCAAAAAAAATTTTTTCCTCTTCTTCCTGTTATCAGTAGTTCTGAATGTTAGATATTTTTTCCATGGGGTCAAAAGGTACCTAAGTATATGACTGCGAGTGGAAAAATGGGGGACAGAAATTAGGTACTGGCAGTTTTTCCATTTTCATTTGTGTGTGAATTTTTAATATAAATGCAAGATGTAAAGCATTAATGCAAGCAAAATGTTTCAGTGAACACATTTCAACAGTTCAACTTCATAAAAATTATAAATAAACCTGTTAAAATTTTCTGGACAATGCCAGCATTTGGATTTTTTTAAAATAAGTAAATTTCTTATTGACGGCAACTAAATGGTGTTTGTAGCATTTTTATCATACAGTAGATTCCATCATTCACTATACTTTTCTGAGTTGTCCTACATGCAAGTACATGTTTTTAATGTTGTCTGTCTTCTGTGCTGTTCCTGTAAGTTTGCTATTAAAATACATTAAACTATAAAAAAAAGAAAAGAAAAAGAAATGCATCTTTAAAAAAACAATTTAGAGCCGGGCGGTGGTGGTGCACACCTTTAATCCCAGCACAAGGATTAAAGCAGCAGGCAGATCTCTGAGTTCGAGGCCAGCCTGGTCTACAAGAGCTAGTTCCAGGACAGGAACCAAAAGCTATGGAGAAACCCTGTCTCGAAAATCCAAAAAAAAAAAAAAAAAAAAAGAAAAGAAAAGAAAAGAAAAAAAAACAATTTAGGGGAGAGTGGTTATAGGTTACAGCCCATCACTGTGCCAGTCACATCACATCTATAGCCAAGAGCAGAGAAAAGAAAGACATGTGCTTAGCACTCAGCTAGCTTTCTCTACCTGCATATAGTCCAGGGCCCCCAACCAGGGAACAGTGCCATTCCCACAGCAATTAAAGCAATCGAGACAGTGCCCCACAGACATGCCCATAGGACAGCCTGATCAGGACAGTCCTTCATTGCCACGTCCTTCTCAGGTGCTTGTTGGTTGTGCTGAGGATTAGAATTAACCATCGTATGAATACATCCATACTTACAAATTTCCCACCTGTGTGATCTGGTCCCCAATAAGTATGCTATGTATGGATCATGGTGACAGCGGCAGCTCCTGACAGCCTAACATGTCAGGACCCACACGCCTCTGCGTGGGATTCCCTCTCGCAGCTCCATGCGTCCCTCACTTGGAGGGACACTACAGATGCACTCTGGGAAAGCACGATTCAGGGACAATCAGTAAGAGGCAAGCGTGAGCAGAGGGAGTCACCCCAGCAAGAGCACAGCCTCTGCCCACCGGCTAAACGTTCTTCCGGATCATCCCACCCGTGCCTCTTCCTTGCAAGGACACATGTGACGGGAAGAAAAAGGACCAAACACAGACAAAGGTCTACTCTACAGTTGGGATGTCAACTATCTCCCGGAAGACCTATATGTCAAAGGCTTGGCTCCCAGGCCGGCACTACTGGGTGATGCTGTGGTCTTTTAAGGGATGAAGTATTGTAGAAAATCCTTAGGTCATTGGCAGTTGAAGCCTATTTTGGGACCCCTGCCCTGTCTTGTCTCTCTTTGTTTCCTGGCTCGTGATGTAAGAAGTTTGCTCCAATGAATAATCCCTGCTGTTGCCACCTGCTCCCCTCACCAGAGGCCTAAAGCAACAGGGCAAGTCAGTCTTGGATGGGAGCCTCCAGAATTGTGAGACAAAACAAGCCTTTTTGTTGATGGAGCTGCAGGCTGCGTTCTTGCCGCCCGGCTCCCAGCCACCAGCTAGCTTTACCCGAAATAACAACACACAAATTGTATTCTTTTAAACACTGCTTGGCCCATTATATCTAGCCTCTTCTCGGCTAACTATCGCACCTGGACTAGCCCATTTCTAATAATGTGTGTAGCACCCCAAGGTGCGCTTACCGGGAAGATTCTAGCCTACGTCCATCCTGGGTTGGAGCTTCATCGCGTCTGCCCCAGAGAGCAGAGCTATCAAGTCTGAGCTCACTTCCTCTGCCTCCCAGCATTCTGTTCTGTTTACTCCACCCACCTAAAGGCTGGCCTATCAAATGGGCAAAGGCAGTTTCTTTATTAGCCAATGACCTTCCTCCATCACCTTTTCACTTATAAATTAAACGTGTTGGGCATTTTGTTACGGTAATGAAAAACGGATCTTGACCGCCTGTGTTGTCTGAGCAGCGTGGCTTTCTTGCAGCCTTGCCATCCCTGCCAGGGCAAACTTTTCTCTCTGGCCCCCAAATGGAAATGGCCTCTCTCTTCAAAAGGCTGCGCTGGGAAGGTGGGTGGGCTCTAATTCAACTTAGCACTCTGTTGCCTAAGAAAACAACAAAGATCCCGGCTGCTTCCTTTCCTGGGCCATTGAGCCCTCACTTTCACAGCTCATATGTGGCAAAGAGGACTCAAATTCTGGATTATTTCTATCTTAAAACCCATGTTCCCTCCCTACAGTGATGTTTTGGCAAGCTGTTTGTGCTGACTCCATGCCCACCTGATGCTGTGACTGTGAACACACACATAACGTGCATGTACGTGATCTGTTTCTAAGGGTTCTCATATGTGCACATGAAGCTGTGTGTACTTGTATTGTCTCTCTTCCTAGATGATGAGCCTCACGTCACCAGTTCTTAGTGTGACCAAGAAGATGAAGCACCTAGTACTGCCAAACCCAGAAGAAACAAGAGGACTTGGTTTGTGCCTCTTCTCAGCGGCTCTGCAGCCCCTGCAAGGCCCCACACGGATCCACAGAGGGTCTCACATAAGAGTCACAGGCAGTGGTGGCACACGCCTTTTAATCCCAGCACTCAAGAGGCAGAGGCAGACAAATCTCTGAGTTCCAAGGCCAGCCTGGTCTCCAGAATGAGTTCCAGGCCAGCCAGGGCTACACAAAGAAACCCTGTCTCAAAAACAACAAAACCAACAAAAAACAACAAAACAAAAACAATCAGTCGTGCCTACCACACAGACTAGGCACAGGGCAGGGACCAAGGCACTTGGGTCAACCTTTCCATTTCAGAGTTTCCCAGACAGCCGAGGAAGTCATGAGTGCCATGAAGAAACACACACTCAAGGAAGTCATAGGCAGGTGTAGAGTTTATTCTTGTGTTTTGGCACTATAGATGTCTGGAGTACAGGCCCAGGATCCCATTGCCTGAGCAGGGATCTGTCTCTCTACAACTGTGGCCTGGAGGTTGCTGCTTACCAACGGTGATGTCTGACCAGATAAGTCCTGGCTGAGGGTTCCCTTAACTCAGGGTGGGACAGGGGGCTGCTCCTGACTAGGACTGGGCAGCGTGTGAGCTGGTTAGTCGCCAGCGAGCAGGACTGGTGGGCAGGCCTCAGGTGGGATGCAGTGGCCTTCATGTTCCAGCAGGCCCGCAGGACACCGGCAGCCTGGAACACAGGGCCTCACGCAGTGGGCTGCCAGTTCCCCTAGGGGTATGTGCTGGTTGAAGCAGGTGCGGGGGCAGGGTGGTCCACACTCATCAAACACAAAGCCACGGTCCGTGGGGCAGCCCACCACTGTAGACAGGGGAAAGCCGTGTCACAGAGGTCCCCAGCATCTCTCTGGCTGTTAGGACATTGTGCTATGTCTCCCTGTACCCTTCCTGCCCAGACTTCAGTCTACTGGGCTACCCCTCCTTTCCGAACTGGGCCTTCATTTCACGCAAACTGGTATCACCCCCTTACCGCAGAGTGTAGGGCCCCTCCAGACAGGAGTCACCCCAGCCCGGCGACAGTGACTAGCATAGGCTTCCAGGGCATCACAGAGACAAGCATCAGCTGAGGCTCCGGGTCCACAAGCACATAGGTCATACACACAGGCAGCAAAGAAGGGTTCTGGGGGTACCACAGCATGGCAGTGACTGAACGGTGAGGTCTTCAGGAGCCCACACCGGGCATTGGCCTCACGCCTGGCACGGTAACCTACTGCCCGACATGGGTCCACCTCTCGGCCTGCAGAACAGGGCCGGCTAGGACCCAGGCCTTCAGGGACCTACATGGAGAGAGCAACCATGATATGAAAACATCCCTGGCAAAATCTCCCTTTGAATAGAACATGTCATGCTCCTGCAAACAAAGTCTTACCTACAACCTTAAATGGAACTCATTGGATTGGGGGGGGGGGGTCAAAAGGAAGGCCAGGGGGTGGTGGCACACGCCTTTAATCCCAGCACTCAGGAGGCAAAGGCATGTGGCTCTCTGTGAGTTCGAGGCCAGCCTGGTCTACAAAGTGAGTTCTAGGACAGGTTCCAAAGCTACACAGAGAAAACCTGTCTCGAAAAACCAAAATAAAAATAAAAAATAAAAAAGACAAGAAAGTAGAAGTGGGGGGGGGCTAGCTGGGAAAAGGAAGGGGATTAGTGGGAACAGGGGAGATCAAGAGAGGGCGATGGGGAAGGTAATCAAAATACAGTAAATACATGTATGAAAATGTCAAAATGAAACACATTATTATGTGTAATTAATATATGCTAATGAAAACAATCCTTTAAAGAGCCAAACATAGTGGGGCACACCTGTGACTCTAGAAGTCTGGGGGAGGGGATCCTGGGTGAGATAGAAAGGTCCAGGCCAACCTGGACAACATGGTAAGACTTTGTATCAAAAAAGAGAAAGCAAATGAATCAAAGCGCCCCCTTTGGGAACAGCGAAGGATGGGCTAGGATGGGGCGCAGTTGGAAAAGTGCTTGTCTGGTACAAAGCCTTCACTTTGATACTCTGCACCCCCCGGAAAAACCAGGATGGTGCTGCACTTTGGAGACAGAGGCAGGTGGGTTAGTCACCCGGTTCAAGGCTACACAGAGAGTTCAAGGACAGTCTAGGTTACAGGAGACCCTTTCTCAAAACGGAACAGAAGGAATCAAAAGTGCTCATCGCTCAGGTCTGTGATGCCCGTACAATGGAAGCTGGGAGAAGAGGATCACAGGTCTAACAACAAAACAATAAAGGAAAGCACTTGTCTCTCTTTTGAGATAAAATAAGACTAGAGTAGGTAGACGTTGACCTGTTTAAGGTCAC